CAACCCAGGGGAACAGAAGACCCCGCCTATTCAGCCAGGCCATCAAGGCTTTGTTGGGCTGCTGTATAAAGCAACTCTACGCTAATTCTGACATTTTGAATTGAAAAAGCTTGCTGGATGGGAGGCAAAACGTCTTCAAACTTGGAAGCAAATTCCAGTGGATTGTTTTTTAACTATTTTATAAGGATTTCCTTCCATAACTGAAGAAGTTAGGTCTATAATGACGGATTCAGAGGGAGACAACAAAGGAGGTTGCAACCTTACAAGGTTGCATCTTTTTGCTTTTCACTTTAGAATTATGCTCTAATTTGTGTTGGTCTATCATAGAGGCGATGCTTTTCTATTGTTTTTACGGAGCATATTGTTAAAGTTTGAGTCATTATTAATACTAAGCTTTTCTGTATCACTAACCGGCCGCTCAATGAGGTCGATGCAGGGCTGCAGGTCCAAGCCGAAGTCGATGAAGCTCCACTCGATGCCCTCCCTCTGGTACTCCTCCTGCTCCAGGATGAACATGGTGTGGTTGAAGAGCTGCTGCAGCTTCTCGTTGGTGTAGTTGATGCAGAGCTGCTCAAAGGAGTTCAGCTGCAGGAGGAGAGACACAAACAAGCAGGACTGTAAACTAAAAGAAAATAGGATGTAATCAATGAAATAACAGTGAGTTTTGGATCAAACTGTGGAGATTGAAGGGTTTAAATTCACACCTGGAATATTTCGAAACCAGCTATGTCCAAGATACCAATGAAGGAGGCCCCCTGCCGTTTGGTTCTGTCCAGAGCTTTGTTGATACGATGAACCAACCAGCGGAACAGGCGCTCATAGGTTGCCTTAGCCAGGGCCTCCACAGCAAAGTCAGCCTGCGGGTGATAAAACAGAACAGCATGACGATGCAGGAGGAGAGAATCAGTATCATCTAAAAATAAGAGAGAGCTTCAGTGACCTGTTCCTTGGTCTGGGCTTTCTGGACATAATCTCTTCCCACTTTGATTCTCGGCGTCAGGATGGCTCTGGTGAACTCCATCACATTCATCCCCAGCAGATGGCAAAGCTTCTGAGCAGCTGGGCAACAGAGAGAAAATAAAAACACTTAAATAAAGAAGCTTTAAACTTAAAAGAAGACGAAGCTCTTTAAAGAAACTTGGGCTGTTTCTCAACAAGTACGGACTTGTGTCCTCGCCAAGTCTGTTCTTGAGAAGAACACCGGAAAGTGTGGACTCTGGGAGAACGGGAGCACCCAGCATAAATATGGAAACTGGAACAGAAGCGTACTGATGACATCACCACATGCTCAGCTCGTCTGGAGCTGCATTTCACCTCCTGTTATTAATAGTCTCTAAATAATAATAATAATTACTTTTTTCATTTAGTGGGTGAATAAAAGTTAACAGAGTCAGATAAACACAAATCAAATGAACATTTTGCCAAATAAAAAAAAAATATCGCCATCAGAGCCAGAGGTACTTCACACACACAGGGTTTATACAGGAATAAATAACTGAAATTTAATTCTTTTTAATGCTCTTTTAATGCTCTTAGAAGTTATTTTAATGCCACCAACAGGTACCCGTCGACAGGCTGCAGCCATGTCCCGAATTCCTCTTTTTCCCGCCACTTCTGTTGAAATTAGCTTTTTCCCCCACTTTCTCTAGCTTTTTCTCAGACTCAAGCTTCTTTCCTGAACATACAACTTTGCGATCATCCGGAGGCAGTTCCACGCAAATGTATAGTGATATAATATGGCTGACGAAGTAGTTTTTATAAATTTTTTTTTTTTAAATAAAGCATTTTCTTTGCCACTTTTAACCCCTTTAATGAATTTTAATGCCAATTAAAGCCTTTATTAAAATAATTATAATTTAATGACTTTTAATGATTTTTAATGACCCGCGGAAATCCTGCACACAGCTATGCATAGAGGGGGCTGCTGCAGACTTGCTAACGTTAGCCCTGGCCGCTGCAGACGGGCTAACGTTAGCCCTGGCTGTGGTTAGCCTCGGAGCTCCGCTGGTTGCCACGGTCCTCTAAACATCGGAACATTTTTTTAAATGACGCACTAAATCAGTAAATGGGCCATATAGTGACACTTTAAAGTATTGTTTTCTTGCCTAAATGATTCTAAAACATAATTTAATAGAACAACAGCAACAGAAAAGAGAACTTTTAACTTAATACTCTGAGCTCTGTGAGCGCTAACCTGGAAGCTGCTGCAGTGCATGCTGGGACAGCTGTCAGTCTCAAGAACAGACAAGTCTGCTCTGATGCATGCTGGGTAAAGAGGGAGGGCAGAGAACAACATGCGGGGACTTTGTCCGTTCTCGGTCTGCTGTTCTTGGGAATTGGAACAGTACTAGGGCTGAGGATGATGATGTTTCACGAGCAAATGAGAACGCACAAGTCCACACATTGAGAAATGGCCCTGGACTCACCCTCATTAAATACATATCATCATAAATATAGTTTGACTTTGACTGACTGATATTATTTTATTATTATAATAAGCTCTCTCAAATCTGATAATATTAAAGTCCTTTTATCCAACACTGCAGCTCTGCTTCTGCCTTCTGTTGTTGCATTTAGGAGATCTGGTCGTGTCTTTTCTCTTTTTTTATCACTGTATCTTCTAGCAGTCGTGTAACAGCACATATGGTTAAACTGGAAGGCCATAGAATATTTCCATCAGGAGAACATCAACTCCGACATTATTCATGTCAACATCACTTACAAGGATATTCTTTCCATCTTCTCAATCATTCTTAGCCAATGTATAACAGTCAGTAGTGAATTAAGGGTTAGAATGAAGGTGATGGATGTCCGTGAGGCAGACACCCTGTCTACTTTTAAGGCTAGGCTTAAAACTTTGCTTTTTGATAAAGCTTCTAGTTAGAGTGGCTCAGGTTATCCTGATCTATCTCTATAGTTCTGCTGCTATAGGCTTAGACTGCTGGAGGACATAGGGACCCCTTTTTCAACATTCTAGTTCATTCTATCTCTATAGATCTGCTGCTATAGGCTTAGACTGCTGGAGGACATAGGGACCCCTTTTTCAACATTCTAGTTCATTCTATCTCTATAGATCTGCTGCTATAGGCTTAGAC